ATATGTGACGAAAATAGGTCAACAAAGTGAATAAAATTTGATCATGTGAATAGTAAACGAGAAGTTTATTTGTGGACAGAGGGAATATCAAAAAAATTACACAATACAAATTTTTTTATATCCCAAAAAATTTAGAAGAAAAGAATTAAAACTTGAGTTACTCGTATGGGAGCAACTGAAGAAGGTGAAATAGGATTAAAAGTTCCACTATTGTTCTTGTATCTTCTCATTATTCTGATTGAGTCGGCACCTAATATCAATGGACGGTGGAAGAGTGGAAGAAAGAGAGAGAGAGAGACTGAACTATTACTGAATCTAGATTATGTTAAATAAATATATAAAACTAAATAACTAATAAAAGTAAACAATTAAGTGCATAACACGTTGGGTCAAACCCAACCCCACCTGCTTTGACCCAAAAATTTAACAGGTGTTCGAATTCGGGTCATTTCAGGTTCGGGTTGCAAAATCGATGTTCAAAACCTGCTAATTTCGGGTCGGGATTAGGATTAATAATGGGTCATGTCAAATTTTGTCGGGTCTAATTGTAACAAAAAGGTAATCAATCTTCAACTTGTAACAAAATGGTAATGTATCTTTTAAAAAATATAAAAAAGGGTACCTTTTGCGAGAATTTTAAAAATTCGGCCTGTGAGTGCAGATGTGGCGTTCCACTTGGCTTCCTAGTGTATATGTGTCATTCCATATACTTCCAAATTAACTTGTAATTTATCTAATACTTAATTAACTTTGTACTTGACATATATAAAGTTAGATTTTTTGAAAAAAAATTAAAACTTTATTTTATTTATACAATTTAATTTTTATACTTCTAATGAAAGTATGTTTTATGTATTTTAACCCCGTGCTTTCTATAATATTTATTTTAATATTAGCATTTTAAAAAATTTAGAATTTACAATTTACTTAGTACTTTAAACATATGTAGCAATAAAATTTTAATAATTTTCTATAGTGTAATTTTAAAAATTCATTTGGAATTTTTTAAAATTTAAATTTTAAAAACACATATTTTTATGATTATATTTACTCCTACGACTATCATCATACATCATTAAAAGAGTTTTTATAAGTTATCCAAAAATTTGTCTTAAAAGAGACATTCATGCAACATCATGTTCATTTATCCATCTAAATTATAACTACAGAAAATTGTAAGTATTTTAAAATTTAGTTTAAAATATTTTGTAAATTAGAAAAATCTTAAAATACTAAAATTAAAAAAAACTTCTAGAAAGCATAGCGCTAAAATAAAAAAATAGAATTTGAAAGCTACCATCATAAAAAGAAAAAAATGATATTGTATAAATAAATATAATTTTTTAAAAAATTCAAGATTGACTTTATATGTGTCAATTACAAAGTTAATCAGACATAAGACAAATTACAAGTTAATTTAGAAGTCATATAAAATGCCACAAATACATTCGGAAGCTAAGTGGATGGCCACGTGTACACTCACACCATAAAAAGTATGAAATTATGTATACTCCGTATGAGTTAATGAATAAAAGTGTATTTTGAGAAATCTCATTAGCAATATTTAAAAAACAATTATTCTTATTATATTATGATAATAACTAATAATATAACAACAAAGTCTTATCCTACTATGTGGAGCCGGCTACATGGATCGAATGACGTCATTACACCCCATCTTATATCATATTTGTTCCATCTTATATCATATTTGTTGTGAGATCATTCACACGAAGATTCCCCTTAACTACATTGTGCCTAGTCTTTTCAGGTCTACCTCTTTATCTCACCACATATATATTCGATCATGTGATGATGATAAGAATAATAATAATAATAATAATATGGAGTAATAATTACTCCATTCGTTCAACAAAAGTTTTTCCATTTCTTTTTTCATTTATTCCAAAATAATTGTTCCATTATTTCTCTTTCTTTTTTATAAAAACAATATGTGGTTTAAAATATTCCTTGTTATTTAAAAAAAAAGTAATACAGAGTAACTCATGTTTTACCATTCAACTTCTTCTCAAATATTTCTTAATTCTCAAAAATTTAAAAATGACGAACTCATTTGTGAGAGAGGGGTATTACTTCCTCCCTCCAAGTTATTTCTTCTCATATATTATTCACAAGGTAAAATTTTATTTAATTTATTTGATTATTTACTCATTTCAATATATGAAGTATAATATATTCATATCAACTATTTTTTTGTAGAAATTTTTATCTACTTTTTAAATATATAAATCCTATTTTTAAATTTTACGCTTACAATCAAATAAAGTAACTGAAAGCAAAATCCACCAGGTTCCATAACTATAATGACACCAATCTACTTCACGAGGAGAGCATTTTAAAACCTCAAAATAAAGGGGACTTTTTGGACATATTTTTTATGGGCATGCGATTAATAAGATGATTAATTAGCAATAGCTAGAGCATTTACTAAGAAGTACAGGAGTAGATTGGAGTCATAGAGAAGAGATATGACTCTCTCAATAAGATAATGATATTCACGTTATGCGATAGAATTCTCCTAATTAAGGAGTGTAGGGACTTGATGTATGATGGAAAATGCCTAAGTTTTGGAGAAAAGACAAAACACATTATTCACTAAAACTAACAAAAACAAAGTAAGCTTTTGACTCGTATCGTAGTGGAGGAAGCCATGTGAATTTGCTAAGATCATCAATGAAAGATATGTAATATTGAAAACCACTAACATAAGGTGGGCCCCAAACATCAAAACTATTTTAAATTAAAGGGCGCGCATTGGCCTTATGTTCAGATAACTCAAAAGGGAAATGATATTACTTGGAGACAAAACATAATTCACAATGTAATGGTTTGAAAAAGTTAAACCCTAATGAAGATAAGATAGATTTTGAGATCGATGAGGCAGATGACAGATGAACACTTGCATCGCCTGAGACACAACTGACAGTAGCTTACATGGGAGGGTGTATCGTCCATGCTCACAAAGGCCCTTATAACACACTTAGTTGGTGGTATTTGTCCACTATTTAAAAATTATTAGCATTAAAAACAAGGGTGCAATTATTGTCTTTGTAAAATGATAGGAAGATAATAAATTAGGTGTAAGGGAGGAGGCATGATGAAGGGTAATTTACCTAAAAAGAACTAAAACATAATGACTTTCTAAATATAGGACCATATGTTTTTATTTCCCAATATAGGATCATTGGTCATTATCTATTAGTCATTATTCAACTAAATGTACAATATCACTTGGACATTATTCTTCTCACTGGTCATTATTAAGTCCTATTTAGTGAATAAAAAAATTTAAGTCCTACATTGGGAAATGACTTATGCTTTAGTCCTATCGAGTACAAATTTCACCATGGTGAAGGGAGATGATATTTACAATGAGGTGTGTGAACAAAGCCAAAGCCTTTGTGTGTGGTGGGTAAGGTTTGATCGTTAACTACAGTAATAGTATCAATACAGTAATAGTATATGGATGAGGAGAGTGAAGTTGTGATTGATCATGTGAAACATGTATTGGCACCGCTGACCATATACCAATCTTGAGATTGGTTGTTCTTCGATGCATGCATATATAACATGGGGGCCACTGATAAAAGAGTTCTGAGGAAAAGAATAATCAAAACGTACCAACATGTGATAGAATGTCCTCATTTGTCACAACTCTGACATATAAGAAGATCACGAGGCAGCCTGCGAATAGGCGGTGACATTCGACCACTGCTTTGACCGCCCCGTGAGTTGTTATAACTGCGACCATACGACGGTAAATCGCGGTATGCTCCTCGACTGCCTATAGAGATCAAAGTAGTATGCGTCTCTCTAGAAGAAGAATCAGCCAAGCTCAGCTTTTGCTCTGTCTCAAGATTAATTTCCTCTGAAGTGAGCCATCCAGGAAGCTGATTGAGAGTGATGTCTCCGTTTTGTAGACAAATGTTTTGTTTGAAATTAGAACACTCGGCAGGGAGACTGCGAATAACAACATTGACAATATCACGTCTAGAGACATTTTCACGCAAGGCATCAAGGTTGATCAGTGGATCGTAGTGACTTCATCAAGATATTGAGTCATGGATTTGGTACCTTTCTGGAGTGTATATAGCTCGTCATGAAGTTAATAGATATGGGCAGCAGAGACCACACAGGATAGATTATATTCCTGAATTTTTTTGGGATAAGAATGTGAAGATTCTGGGTTAGAAGTTTTATTCCATAAGGGAGAGAAGCTAGGGGATCTGTCACCGCCATGGAGACGGTAGTCGTCCGTCGAGGAATAGAGAGACCGGCTATTGCTTGACCGTAAAAAAGAGTTAAGTAGTTTTCGAGAACATTAACTCTGATATCATGATACAATTTGATAATAATTGTTCTTATCTAATAATGAATGTTATATCCCTACATATAAGGATTAATTCTAATCCTAGAAAAAAAAGAATTATGAATGTAATTAATAATATTCTCTCCTTCTCAGCATATTTATCCAGTTTGACTCTTTCGAGTCAGAATGAATTTTGAATTTCATCAACAATTAAACAAAAATTGCAATGCATATTAGTATAAAAATATCTTTATTAGATTTATCAAGTTCAGAATTTTCATAATTTTATTTTACTAATATACAATACAAATTGAGAGTAGTTGAAACTTAAAGTTTGTTTATTTTAACTCGAAAAAAATCAAACTTGACAAATACAAAAAGAATACGCTAATGTTTGCTTCCTATTAATTTTGAACGGGGTGAGACGTACTGTGGTACTTTTTTGAGTTAATGAACTCACCTGCGAACTATAAAGGCGAGTGAGTGAATTAAATGTTATGCTTAAAGAAGATGAACATTTGCCGAATCGCCGGATAAAGGAGAAGAAATTGAGACAAAATACACCCAATTGAATTGCACAATGAACAATACGGAGTAATGCACTATCTATGAAGTGTACGTATGAGAGTTTACTGTCTAATTTCCACCAATTTGCATGAATGGAGGGGCAAAGAATTACACACAATTATTTTGTATACTACTACCTCTGTTCCACAAAACCCTTCCGGTTTTGACTTTGGGGGAAAATAAGAAAAGTGTAATTTTGGTTGACTTTCCAATTTTGCCCCTGATGTGATAGGAAAAAATAAGATATGATAGTTTGATTATTAGTGAAAAAGTATGATGTGATAGATAGGGTATGAAAAAGTAGGGGTAAAAGTGGTTTTTTAATAGAAAGTGAAAGTGTTTTGTGAAAATAAAAAAAACGAAAGAGGAAGAGTTTTGTGGAAGGGATGGAGTATATATTAGTATACCTTATATACATATACCACGAATTGAAAAATAAACAATGTAAGAAACCAAACAATCAAACATAACGAAAGGTAGCAGAATTCCCTCACATTCTACTCAAGGTTAAAGTCCCCATCTTCTTGGCGATCCCTCTCAGTGCAAATTTCTGAATTTTTCCGGTGGATGTCTTCGGTAGCTCCTCCATGAAAACCACCGTCTTCGGCACCATATAATGCGGCAGCCTTTCCCGGCAGAACTCAATTATCTCGTTCCCGCTTGGCTTACTCTTCTTTCGCTCTTCGGCGTTGTCGTGGATGTTTTGATTCAGAGTTACGAAAGCGCACGGTGTTTCGCCCCAGAAGTCGTCCGGCCGGGCCACCGCCGCCGCCTCGTAGACCGCCGGGTGCGAGTAGAGAACCGACTCCAACTCCACGCTACTCACGTTCTCTCCACCGGTGATGATGATATCCTTTGACCGGTCTTTTATTTCCAGGTAGCCGTCGGGGTGCATCACTCCGACGTCGCCTGTGTAGAGCCAACCGTCTCTCATGCACCTTTTCGTTGCCTCGGGGTTTTTAAGATAACCCAACATTATGGATTGTCCCCTTAGGACAATCTCCCCCACCGTGACCCCGTCTCGCTTCACGCTCTTCCCAGACCCTGCCTCTACCACGTCCGCTGCCATCATCCCCAACGTCCTCACTCCTTGTCTCGCCTTCAGTCTTGCCCGTTCCTCCGCCCTGAGCCCGTTCCATTTCGGTTTCCACGCACAAGACACCACCACCCCCGCAACCTCTGTCAACCCGTACCCGTGGCTCACATTGAACCCGAGTGATTCAATGCGCATGACCACAGTCGCGGGAGGAGGAGCTCCGCCCGTGAGGAACTGAACGGGGGACTCGAGCGGTTTGGCCCGTGGAGAATTAGCCAACATGTTAAGTACCACGGGCGCACCACACATGTGTGTTACATTGTATTTCTCGATGTAAGAGTATACGAGATCGGGGTCGAGTTTTCGTAAGCACACATTGGTCCCGCCAACCGCGGCCATGCCCCAAGTGTAGCACCACCCGTTGGAATGGAACATCGGCAACGTCCAAAGGTAGACCGGGCGGTCCGGGACGAACCACCCGATCAAAGAGTCAACGGTCATAACAAAGATTGACCGGTGAGAATGCACCACTCCTTTGGGGGATGAAGTGGTGCCGGAGGTGTAATTAAGTGTCATTGGATCCCATTCTCCGGCGGGTCGGGTCCAATTGAAACCCGGATTCCCTATTTGGACCAGCCCTTCGTAAGTATCATAGACTAAACTATCCTTTCTAGCTTCACAATCCCTCCTCTGTTCATCTTCGATTATGACCAATAACGGGCGTTGACCGTGGAGTGGCAGTAACGAAATTGACTCGAGAACCAAGGGGTAGAACTGGAAATCGACGAAGACCAGCTTCGATTCGCCGTGGGAGAGGAGAACGGAGATCGTCCGGGCGTCGAGACGGGTGTTGATGTTGTTGAGGACGGCGCCGGCCATCGGGACGGCGAACTGGAGCTCGTAGGTGGCCGGAATGTTGGGAGCGACGACGGAGACGACGTGGCCCTTCCCGGGTCCAATGACGGTGGAGATGGATGAGGCGAGGCGGCGACACCGCGTGTAGGTGTCGGACCAGGTGTAGACGGCGGAGTTGTGTACGAGGGAAGCGCATTCGCCGTAAACAATGGAAGCTCTTTCGAGGAATGACAATGGCGTGAGAGGACACGAATTTGGCAAGCTTGGTTTCAATTGGTCCATGGCGTTCAATTGGCTCCAAATCACAAATTAGCACTCTCTAGTCTCTATATTTTGCCTAAGAAATTAAAGTATCGCATATATATACACAAATAGGTAAACACGGAGTACACTATTCTTTTTATTGACAAACAATAGCTTTTTCTACCACTACCTTCCATAAATTCTTGTACCTATAAATCTAGGTAAATTTACATATATTAGTATCACACTCATGTGTTCCACGACCCGAATATATGCTACAAAATTATACTCTCTCCGTCCCCCAGTTTTTGTTCATTTTCATTTTTGCACACTATCCAATGCACTTCTTTAATCCATTTTATCTTGTAATTTGTATATTAAAAAATTGTAGAAATTATATATTAATAATCTATATGTTAAGACAAATCAAACAAGATCACACATGACTATATTTAGGCTTACACATTGAGAAAATTTGATGAGTCAAAGTATTTAGATCAACAGTTCTAAAAGTCAAAAGTGGACAAAAACTGGGGGACAGAGGGAGTATTATCGTTATTATAAAAGGAAATGAATATACTCCGTAGTATGTAATGAAGTATAATGTCTTTCATTTGTGTAAAACATGGATATCATGTAAATTACAAATTTCAAAAAACTTTCCTATAAACTACATTCGTAGTACATCTTGTGGAAACATTCTCTAAATCGTATATAAAAATCTTCAAGCTATTACGATTTGTCACTCTTGAAACCGCAACATATAATTGTCCATGACTAAAAACTGTTTTTCATAATAGTAACTGGCTTTCTTAAATAAGAATCTTATTTAAGAACTCAGACACATATAAATCATAAAAAAATTTGAATTTGAGTCCGAGTTCTCAACCTTTTTAGAACTAAGATAATTGTGTGATTCCTCATTGGGATTCATCCATGTCGTATGTTCATTTATATAATCAATGACATCCAATGTTGGAACCAAAATTGCACGGCCCTGCAAATAGCACGGATCATTGGCTATATTTTGGAAATCAAGATAAATGGCATTCATTACAATACCTATAGGATTTCCTGAAGATGGAAGCAACATATCATCAAGTATTGTTACTTCTACATAGCCATCATTTTCATCTCTGCAACTCCGTTGCTAATACTTGCAATCCAGTCAGTGAATTCAACTAAGCGGTCATAACTACTATCTTGAGTCATTGATTGCAGGCGCATGTTTTTTTGTTAAACGCAACACAGTGCAATCTTTCCAAATGTAGGAAGAATTATTTGTGGCATTAAAAATGTCATGTCTATATCCTTTCGAAGTTACATGCAATATTTACCAAAAATTTTCACCAAAGACTATTGGTTTTCCTTCGGACTTTTGATTTTCACTTTAAGGATTAGAGAATCGCAGAATATTGCGCAAGCTTCTATTTAGAGCATCAAAATAGTACTTATGCGTCATCGATCGGTGCGTCATGCCAAATAATTAATTTGGCCTGAGTTGTGCTAGTGAGATTCCTTGCTTAATGTTGCAAGTAGAGCTTTCGTCTAAGCACAACGGAATTTTAAATCGTGAATGAGCTGTTCTACCACCAGGGAAAAGTAATGATGCTATTTCACTTGATGCGACATTCAAGACTCTTTCACCTTTAGACCACAGTGCAGCTGATAAAGTTATCCATATGTATGTCTTACCTGTTCCACCGTAGTCATAGATGAAAAAAACTTTACCTGAATATGTATTAACAGATTGCATTATGGAATCATACGCTTTTCGTTGTTCGTCATTTAATGATTCCAAAAGGATGATGTGTTCACTGGTCAAAGCAATTCTTCAATATCACATAGAACATAATTTTGAATTTCTTCTTCTTTAAGGGTAAGACCTAACATTGATAAAAATATATATTAATTGAACTGTAAAAAGAATATTTTAAAGTAGATTTCAGGAATTAATGAAAATGTTATATAAGTAGATTCTACATATAAAAATGTAAAAGAGATTTTGGTACAACAAAAAATAAAAATGTAACTTATTTTTGGAATTGAGGGACTATAGGATCGGAGTAGAATTTTATTTTTTGAATAATCAAATATCTAAATGTATTTTTTGTTAACTATATTTCGATTTGATTTTTCATTTCGCAATTTTTTTTTCAAAACCAAACCGACCAGACCCAATTTGACAAAACCAAGGCACACCATACCTAAAAAGCATACTTTTACACCCTTGCATTAATGGGTGCCGGCAAAAGAGGCTATTGAAGCTGATCAAATTCATGCATGGTGTTGAATTATAATAATTTCATTATATAAATAAAATTAAGGGCTAATAGTATCCGTACCCCCTCATGACATTGTTTTATTTGTAAAATCTCTATGATTTTTAAAAAATACACAGACATCCCCTCCTATCTATTTTTAGAGTTGAAATAACAAATATGCCCTTTCTTTTCCTATATTTTCAAGTTTCACTTTTTTATTTTCATTTTTTTCTTTATTATACAAATAAAATAATATATATGCTCTATCTCAAATTAAATTTATTTATTTATTTTAATTTGCATAATAAAGGAAAATAAAAAAAATAGAAATCCAAGATAGAAGAAAATAAAGGACATAAATGTCGTTTTAATTCTAAAAATAAGTAAGAGGGGTGTCTGTGTTCTATTTAGAAATTATAGAAACTTTACAAACAATTTCGAAAAAATTAAGAGAGTTTTTAACGCCCTTTTAATAAATCATAAGGATACCCATAGTATTAAGTTATTAACCCATAAAATTAAATACTGCGCATTATTACGAGTTAACAAATATGGTTGGCTGGTATATATATATATATATATATATATCTTTTGCATTAATCCAAAACTAATGGCCCTATGTGTTCAATAATTGGTTCATTTGGTTGGGTGGTTAGAGAAATGTCCCAACTGCTCTCGGGTTTGTGCTTGCCAGATGAGAATGAATGTCTAATTTTATTTATTTATTTTAATGCGAATGAATGAATATTTTACTAGGTGAGTACTAGACATAGTTGTGGTGCCTTAATTATATTCTTCTTCTATCTCCTATAGAACTAACTCCTTCCATCCAAAAAAAAGAATAGTAATGATGTAAAAGAAAGTAAAATTTTAAAATTTTTCAATTGATTTTATTTAACTATTGATATAAAAACAAAAAATAAAACTTACATACTTAAAAATTATGTAAAAAATTCAACAAAAATAAGAGATGAGAATAAAATTTTATTTTATCAAATAATCAATAAAATTACATAAGTGAACAAAAGTTTTTATGATTTTTGAACAATGAGGTCTGTGTGTGTTTTGCAATGAAACGAGTAAATTGCAAAAAATATAACGGCACTACGGAGTATTATTATTAGACACTTATAGTTTTCATGTGTTTACTTTTGGGGAACTTCTTCCCTGACTGGAGTGGTAAGAAGTCCATTCCCCGGGGTTCATGGGGAAGTTTACCTAAGTTTGAGCCTCGACATAGGTAGAAGCATTGACTATTTGTGCGTCACTAGGTTGAGAATAGTATTTACTTTTGGGTGGAAATTAAACAAAGTGATTAATGATGGGTTTTAAACTTTGGCAAATGAACACAAAGACTTGGAGATTTATTTGGGGAGGTACACTAGAAAAACGAAATCTTCGAAAGCCTAAATGTGTTGGAGGGCTTGACATCAAATCTTCGAAGGAGATGAATGTGGCATTCATAGTGAAGCTTGGGTGGAGAATCCTAGTTGAGGATGATAGTTTATGGCCTAATATTGTAAAGGATAAATATGCCAAAGGAAGAAATGGAAATCCTTGTGACCAGAATGTCACTGGAGCAACTGCGAGGATAATATGACTAGAATCTAAATACCAACCAGGACATTATGCCCGACCAGAATGATGCAAGGTCACTATGAACTAGGGGTGGGCACGAATCGGGACGGTTCAGATTTTGTCCCGTTATTTATAAACGGTCCGAAATGGTTTGGATTACAATCTTATCCCGATTTGTCCCACAAAATTCGGGATCGGAATAAACCGGGACGAATTCGGGTTGTCTTATTTTGTCCTCATCGCAAATATAAGAAGGGAGATAGGGTGACATTTCATCAAAAAAGGGAAACATCTAGTCATCTAACAAAAAACAATGTGAAACGGGACCAAATAAATTTAATAAACTTTGGGCTAAAATATCAAGCCTATGAAGTTAACTTAATTAATTAATTAATTAATTAAAGAATGAGTGTGCAGTATTTGAATTTTGGACTAGATTTAGCTAGTATTATATATTAGTAGAGTAGATGAAATGAGACAAACAGAATGGATTGGTATAAATTTAAGTTGTCCCGCTCATGTCCCAATTTATATTGGGACAGAACGAGTTCAGGATAAAAAATGTGTCCCAATTAATCAGTACAATTACAAAATGGATCTGGGGTTTTTCGTAATGGTCCAACTGGAACGGATTTCATGCCCACCCATACTATGAACTGACTTGCAAAACGAACACCTTGGAAGGACATTTCTAGCCTCGATTCTCATCAGTGTTGAATGAAGACTGGAGATATGATGAATCATCTTCCAGATCTAATCCCCACTAAAGTCCATCCGGCAGATGCTCACCCCTAGGTATTTTTTCGGAAATTCCATGAGGGATCGGTGTCTGATGATCTTGATGGAAGTGGATCAACACGACGTTTCAAAGCAGCTATGGATCGTTTGCACTTGGCCAAATATTTCTAACTACGATGAGGGTTAGGTTGGTCCTCATCGCTATCAGAGAGCAAGCAAAATTAGGGCATGCTCGGATCTGGAGAAGAGGATGCAGCCACGAAGGTGATCCGATTCTGAAAAGAGAAAGGTGAGGAGAGGAGAAGAATTGCCAAGGAACCAAGGGCGGATCTTTCGAGATGAGGAGGTGGGGTTCTAAGGATGGATATTGTGGGAGAGGTGAATGGGATAAATTAGGTTTAGGGGTATTTCAGGAAAAATAAGTGAAAAAGGAAGTATTTTAGGGAAAATGAAAAAAACAAAAAAGAAGGGTTTACTTTTAAGGAACGGAGGGAGTAAGTCATTTCTCAATGTAGGATTTAAACTTTTTTATTCGCTAAATAAAACTTAATAGTGTCTAGTGAGACGAATAATGTCCTGTGATGGTGGACATTTACTTGAATAATGACTAATGGATAATAATCAATGGTCCTATATTGAAAAATAAAAACATATGATCTTTTATTGAAAAAATCATTGCATTTTAGTCAGGTAAATGTCATCACTCCCTAAAGTAAAATCATATTTTAGTCAGGTAAATTCTCCTTCATTTCATCACTCGCTAAAGTAACAAATGGCTCAATCCACTAGTGCATATGGAAAAAATGAAGATACACCAAAAAGGAACATATACCTAAGGCCTAAGCTCAAAGATATACAGTAGATATACGCTCATTCACAAATTGTCTCTTGTTAGGATTTTAAGCGCGTAAGATACCGAAAAATATTGAGAACACCAGAAAAATGAGAGAACAAACACGAGAAGAAAATATGAGAGAATAAATTATATTTCCACTGTTTCAGGACAATATACAAAAAACTCTTCCCTGTTTACAAGACTAAATTTCAGACACTCATAAACAGATCTTTCCCCATCCTATGCTCGGACGTATTTTTCCGAGTAACTAAAACATGTTACTCCCTACACTCACCCACACTCACCAAGACCCCTTGGATTTTCCCGGTGGTATTCTTGTGTGGAATTCCTCCCATGCTTCTGTCTCTACATTGGTGGTGTGTAAAACCCACACACACTTGCACTAAGAAAACCATGGCCTTTTAAAGCCAAAATAAACTGTGCAAGCTATGTCATTGGCCAACAACCCAACATAAAAGTCCAAACATGGGAAAAACAACTTGATTCCCTTCAATCCAAGGATCTACACATGCATGCATCAAAGGATTATCATCACATGTCATGCATCTTTCTTTAATTCATTTCTTTGTTACTGTTTTTTTCTTCCTTTTTTTATTTTTCTTTTCTTTCTTTTTGAATATTTAATCAATATTTTCCAACATCTCTGAGGTTTACGCATACTACACAGAATTAAAGTTCTACAATGCTTCATCTAAAAAAAAGTTCTACAATGCGAAAAATATAAAAAATT